CTGCCCTGCCTGGATCTCAGGGGCCCTGCCCCTCCTGCGTCTCACACTGGCCTGCATTGCTGGGGAAGGATCCATCCCCACTGTTTCAAGCCTCCCGGATGGAATCCTTTGACACTACATCCCGAGGAAACTGACACGTGCCCTTTCTTGTTCGTCCTTGTTTCTGTCAGATGAGGGGCTCAGGCGGGTTCCCATGACCGGGTCCTGACAGGCAGCAGAGGTTTCTGGTTACGTCTTCCTCACCCTCCTCTGGAAGCGGGTCTCAGGTCCCCACACCGGGGGGCCCTGCCTCTCATCCTTTGTTCCCCTCACTCCCCAGCGCCCCCAGATGTGGAGTATGTCCTCGGTTATTCTTCTCTCTGCCTTTCCAGAAACAAGGTCGCGTGTTCCTGAGCCTCCAGAACAGGCCCAGAACGGCAGACGGAGTGACTTGCTCCACGAACCAAGCTCTACGATGAACCCCCGAACCTGTGGTCTGCTCCCAATCCCGGAGGTGTGCGCCCTGGCCTGTGGACGTGGGGAGAGTGACACGTTTTCTTGGGCTCCCACGTGGTCGGGGAGTCAGCAACGCCGGGAAGGGTAGGAGCCCTCCCTGCCTCGTCTCCCGACGCTGGCCGGGACGCCCAGCCTCCTCCTCCATAATGAGGGATGTCCGTGTACAAGGGGCTTTCCGTCGTCCTGACCTATAGTTCCCTCTGAGCTGATGGCAGCTGTGGTCCCCGAGTCCCTTCTGTTCCTTTTCTTAGAGGCGGGAACAGCTGTCAGCAGTTGGGCGGGAAGGGACCCAAAGCTCGGTGACAGAAGTGAGAAAGACAGGCCCGCACCCATAGCCCATCTTGAGGAGAAGCCATGGGATGCCCTACGTGACCCCGGGAGGCACAAGACCACCGAGGGAGAGGCTCCAAGAGTGGCGATCGGGAGAGTCGCTTCGAACATAGGAGGTCTCGCATGGCACACGGAGCCCCCGACGCTGTGCCTTTGGATCCACCGCGAACAAGACACATGGCTGGAAAACATGGTGGACCTGGGACCCAGCCTCGAGCACACAGGACACTTCGGCACCTTACGCTATTCCTACGACTTGCGGATGGTCTGAGGGGAGAGTGTTTTACCAACACCGTCGGTATGAATTACCTTGGGGTGCACTTGTTCCAGAAGCTGTAGGATGGACGAGGCTTTAGGAAATATTAATAAAAAAGGGGTGCCCGGGTGACTCAGTCGGTTGAGTGCCCGACTTCGGCTCAGGTCATGATCTCAGAGTTCGTGAGTTCAACCCCTGCATCAGGCTCTGTGCTGACAGCTCGGAGCCTGGAGCCTGCTTCGGATTCTGTGTCTCCTCTTTGACTCTCCCCTGTTCATGCTCTGTGTTTCTCTGTCTCAAAAATAAATAAAAATGTAAAAAAAAAAAAAATAAAAACAATAAAGTCTGAATACTCAAGATTTTTTCAGAGTTCCATGGGATACATTATTTTTCCTTAGAAAGTCAACAGATTGAAAAGGGGGAATAAAGAGGGGCACCTGGGTAGGACACTTGGTTAAGCATCTGAATCTTGATATTGGCTCAGGTCATGGTCTCACGATTTGTGAGATCGAGGTCCATGTCAGGCTCTGTGCTGAGGGACCAACCTGCTTGGGATTCTCTCTCTGTGTCTCTCTCTCTGTCTGTCTCTCTCTCTGTCTCTGCCCCTCTCCTACTTGTGTCCTCTGTCTCCAAAACAAAATTAATTTATTAAATACAATTTTTAAAAAGCTGAAATAAATAACAGGTATGGTATAGAGAAAGCAGGATTTTGAATAAAAACCAATAGCCATAGAAATCGTGACGTGGACGAAAGGGCTGGCATGCTATCACTCAGACGTGCTATTCAGCATTGTGTCTGAGGTCTTGGCCACACAGAAAATAAGATAATTAACAAAGAAAAGGATGGAAACTCCTTTGATCAACCGGCGGTATGATTCGTGGCTTCTGTAGAAAAATCCCAGACAGGGGACGCCCTCTGGCTCAGTCGGTAGAGCATGAGACTGTTGATCTCAGGGTAGTGAGTTCAAGTCCCACGTTGGGTACGGAGCCTGCTGGAAATAAAATATTTTAAAATTATTTTTTTAACGTTTATTTATTTTTGAGGGCGGGGGAGGGGAGGTGCAGAGAGAGAGGGAGACACAGAATCGGAAGCAGGTTCCAGGCTCCGAGCTGTCGGCACAGAGCCCCACGCGGGGCTCAAACCCACGAACCGTGAGATCATGACCTGAGCTGAAGTCGGACGTTCAACCGACTGAGCCACCCAGGCGCCCTGAGCATCTTTTACTTTTAATTAAATTTTTATTTAAATTCCGGTGTAGTTAGCATACAGTGTAATATTCGTTTCAGCTGTAGAAAGAACATAGTGATGCAACCCTTCCCTACGTCACCCTGTGCTCATCACGACAGGGGCATCGTCAATCCCCGTCACGTAGTTAACCCGTCTCCACCGACCTCCACTGACTTTTCGCTTCTGTTTCCCCGGACACAGAAAGTGTGTGTGCCTCTGTGCGTGTCCCATATGGGCGGGCCGGGCGTCCCAACATACGCCAGATGGAAGGACGTCGAAGAAACCAGCAGGAACGTTTAGGAAACACCGGGACCCGTAGGGGAAACGTGAACACGCTTCAGCGCGCCTTGAATGCTTTTGCAAAAGCATCTCCCTGTCCTTACGCGGGTCCGGGGCAGCCACCGTGAAAGGCGGGGCGTTCGTGCAAATAGGCCAGAGGCGGGTCTGGCGGGGAGGCACCGAGCTATCTGGAGAGGCATGATGCACGGTGCCTTCGTGAGCAGACTCCGCTGCGCGGGGGTTCGCGTGCGAATGTGCACACACACCCTTTCCGCCCATCGCAATGGGGATGCAGCTGCCTGTGTTCGTCTCCACCTTGGACCCGCCTTCCCGCGGGATTCATGTCTGCTTTGTGCGGTTTCACACCAGACCCTCACAGAGCCTCCCTGTGGCCCCCAGTCCCCATGGAACGCTCTTAGACACTGTTTGTCAACAGGCCCGAGTTCAGACGGTCTCTACTGGGGTCTCTACTGCTCTCATTGTCTCCATTCCCCCCCCCCCCCCCCCCCCCCCCCCCGCCCAGGGGACACCTGACAGTGTCTGGGGACAGTTGGTGTCATGCTAGTGTG